GAACCCTAACCCGAACCCTAACCCTAACCCTAACCCTAACCCTAACCCTAACCCTAACCCTAACCCTAACCCTAACCCTAACCCTAACCCTAACCCTAACCCTAACCCTAACCCTAACCCTAACCCTAACCCTAAGCCTAAGCCTAACCCTTAACCTTAACCCTAACCTTAACCCTAACCCTACCCTACCCTAACCCTACCCTAACCCTAACCCTAACTTTAACCCTAACCTAACCCTTACCCTATCCTAACCCTAACCCTAACCCTAACCCTAACCCTAACCCTTGTTATGTTTCACCTCTCGATAGCAGCCTCAATGTACAACCAAATAACAGCTTTGTTGTGTAGCTGCTTGGATTGCACTTGAACTCCCTCTGCCGCCACCCTCAGCGCATTACCCGTACCTGCAGATTGCTGATGAGCGGCAGCTGGCTCCTGGTCCATCCTGAAGTAAGGGCTCAGCGGTTTGACCAAACTGGTGCTTTATCTGACTGGTTTAAGGCCAGCACAGTGCTTAAAACAATGTAAAATTTCACCCAGTGGCATATATTGCTTGAAAGTTTCATGTGCTTTGCTTTCACTGGAATATTTCAGGGCAGAACAATGCAAGTCAGAACTCTGGTTAAGCAAACCACTGAGCCTTATCCTGAAGCAACTCTGGGAATCAGCAAGACGCTGTGCCACACACTGTGCCTGTGCAAGCACCATGGAGGTGCCTGCCCATACAGCTACACAAAAGCCAACACCCATAGCTGCACCTGCGCGTACATGTACTCCCTCGAAGGATCTGTCAACTCGATCAAGTTCTGTGACTGGACCTGCGTTGTTGACGGAGGCCACAAATGTTTGACTCTGATGACGAGAGCTTGGGCTGGCATGCCTGTGCTTCCGTTATGGTTGACGCTACTTTGGCCCAACGGCATCCACCCCTACCGCCAGTGCTGGTTCCAGCACCTGGGAAAAACAACTCACAGAATGATTGTCCCCTGGCTCCACAAACACCGCTCTGGCAATCATGCATGGGATCAGCCATCAATAATTTGGGGACCTTGCACGGCTAAGACAGTGGGATATCGGGGGATTCCGGGGATTGAACCCGGGACCTCCTGCACCCAAAGCAGAAATCATACCACTAGACTAAATCCCCTGCCAGTGTTTCTGCAAAACAGAGAGTTGACGTCACGCCACCACTGACATTTCTGTCTGACCATTGGCTCAAGTCGATACAGCATTGGTTAGCTTGTGCCCCAGGGCGCCAAAGGTCTCACTGGCACCCCCTTTAACTGTGCTGTCAGGCAGACTTGGACTTGTCATCTCTTCAGTGAAACTTTGCCACTCTCAAACTTTTGCAGCAAGTCTCAGAAGTGGGCAAGGTCAGCTGGCACACCTGCAAGATTGTTATTCAGACGTCGGACCCAGTTTGGCCCTGACTCCCAATCCCCAGAGGCTCACAAAATCTGAAAACAAATAAATGAAAATTAAAATAAAGTGAAGTAACGAGGCTGCCATTCAACCCCCTTTCGTCCTGCACAGGATTCGAACCTGCGCTCCTAAAGGGAAATGCCTTAGCAGGGCACCGTGTTAACCACTCCGCCAACAGGACCCTACACAAATCCTTTTGCGCAAACAACCCTGGTACGACTGGGCCGACCTGAAGCCTTTTCATACACTACCCAACAGCAAGACAGCAAGATCCTCTGCAACTGCAGTATTCAAGCATGAGCTTGGCTGGAAGAATGCTTACCTGAAGCTGCTTTTGACTTGGCACATGCAAAATCCTGGTGCTATTGCTGCAACTGAAGACAACCAAGTATCTCCAGCAGTCCACGAGCATAGCAGGACTCGAACCTGCAATCTTTCGATCCGAAGTCGAACGCGGTAACCATTTCGCCATATGCCCACACCAAATTCAGCTAAGCAGCGAGACCTGTGAAAGACTGTCAACTATTCCCCGCTGCTCGTTTCCTGCTTCTCTTTTTTTTTTTTTTTTTTTTTTTTTTTTTTTTTTTTTTTTTTTAGTTGGTGTGTTCTGTCTTTTCATTTCACTCCCCTCCCCCCCCCCTGTGTTCAAGAGGACCAATGGCAAGGGGATTAACAGCATGAAGGTGCAACAATCAGGATCCAGCCAATCAAACTGGACTCGAGCAAGAGACTTTCCCCTCTGATGCTGTCTGTTGTAACTTGTGCTTGCTGTCAGTTTGGCATTTAGATAGCTAAAGGGAGGATAATGGTCAGTTGGAATTGGCAGGTCAAGTATCCCACCCCAGCAACCCAAGTGATTGCATTGCAAGTTTGCACTTTTTTTTTGCACAAGGAGAAACTTTTTTCAATCAATGTAGCAAAAGTTGCACATGCTGCACAGCGCGACTTTGCATGGGGTAAAGTGCCTGTCTTGGTCATGCTTCCACAGTCCAACCCCCCACATAATGCTGGAATCGCAACCTGACTTAAGTTTTTTGTTTATCTCTTTTTTGGTCTGCTCAGTCTGTCAGCCAGGAGCCAGACATTAGAATAAAGAAATTTGCAATCTTTCGGCTGAACAAGCCTAAGCAAACACTCAACAGAAAGTTCAAGCAGTTTTCCAGCTTGTTCAAATAAATGCAAATTGCTGGTTTTGGCAAAGAAGCCATTGGCTTGTTAGTTTGGCCACTTGGACCATCAAATGACACCAGTCAGCCAATGAAATTTGACAAGGCCCAACACAGACAAACACTGTTCACCTGAGGTGCACCACAGGTGGTGCAGCACAGGTCATCAGAGGCTGCGCTTTCTTCCTGCATGGTTTCACCGAGGTTCGAACTCAGGACCTCCTGTGTGTGAGACAGATGTGATAACCAGCTACACCATGAAACCACATGTCTGAACTTGTCAAAAATATGACAGCAATATGGACTTGCTTGCCAGAAATCGTTTGGACGTTTGTTAAAAAAGTGAAAGAAATGTAGGCTGGAGTTGGCCTGGGTTGAGCCACCATGATGCATGCAGCCACTCAGCTGCTGCCACACCATAGTTCACTCAACCAAATCATCTCCTTCTTAAAGCAGAAAGCAGTATTGTAGGCAGTTCCTGCTTCTAATTGCAGCAACAATGCAACAAAGGAACAGCCAGCTGCTCAGACAGATCACGTTTTTTTTTTTACCAATCGTGTGTGCCTTTGCTAACACCCCAGGGAGTCAGCAGCCAGGCAACAGTCCACACAAAATCCACAACCCTTATCGCTACCGGGTGGACTTGAACCACCAACCTTGCGGTGTGCTGCTGACCATGACTAACAGCCGCACGCGCAAACCAGTTGCGCCACGGCAGCATATTATAGTTTAGAGATGGTTGCCAATTGATCCTATTTCTTTTCGCACTTTCCCATTCAAGGAAGCGTTCAAAATGTGTGGCAGAGATTGCATACGACCATAGGATTGTTGGGTTTTGTGTTGACTCTCCATTCTCAAAATGGCATGCCACTGCAGACTCAGAGGCCAGGCTGCAGGGCAAAGTATGTAAATCAAACAATGGACCACTCCCCAAAAGCCATTGGACTTCACAAAATGCAATGCAATCAATTTTTCTGTCTGAACCCCTGCCATGCACCTGTGACAGCAAAAAAGTGTCAGACACCATTTGCAAAATTGCAGCACAAGGTGACCCAATGCTGGACCATGTCTAATGACTGCAAATACCACAGTCTTTTGGTAAAAGCACACACTTGAAGGTCCAAATACATTCACTGATAACAGATAAAATGGGGTTTTGGCATAATAGTGGTATGCGCAAAGGATACCAAAATGAGGTTTTCTGTATCTGTTATCAGTTCAGACATATTAGATACATGCTGCAGGCTACACTGTGCAAAAAAAAAAAAAAAATAATAAAAAAAAAATAAAAATAAAAAATTGTTAGTGTTGTCAGGATTTTGCCCAGTACGAAAGCCCGCAGAGGCATGAACCAATTTGGTGGGTCTCAAAAGCAAACACTGCCTTCTCAAGGAAATTTGTTCTTTGGCAATTTGACACTGATACAGGGCAAAGTGTCCCAAGCTTCACTTTGAGACTGAAAAACTTGACAGACATTCACCTTTCCCTCATCGCACTGTAAATGCCCAAACCGCTGAATAGGATCTAACACAAATCGAGTCATTTCAATGTTTGATTTGATTTGATTTGATTTTCTGAATATAAATGACAATTTTCCCATGTTATTCGGCCATTTGATTCTGTAGCTTTTCAATTTTTGGGCTGAACAGTCAGACATAAGAAAATTTTACTGATGATGGAATCGCTTTTGAATCAAGTCCAAATGGTCATTTGAATCAAATGCAGGGTTCGTGTTTCATCCTACTGCTGTAGCTTACACTGCCCTCGCTAGATCAAGTTGCTTGTGCCACAGAAAATCACTACACGCCCGATGTGGGGGTCGAACCCACAGCCTTGTGATGGCTCACGTGCACATGTCGCACATGCCGTAAGAGTCACATCCTCTACCGATTGAGCTAACCAGGCAACACACACTGCATTTTTCCGCCCAATTTGATCAGGAGAACAATCACAACTCCCTCCATGGGCCTCTTCTTGGGTCATCATATAGCCCTTCCTGCGTAAAACTGAATAGTGATAGAGAGTGGACAAAATCTGTGTGCAGTGTCAGAGGCATCGTGCACTCCTCCTTGCTGCAGTACACGCAGTTGTTACTGCTTGCAATAGGCTCAAATGACACACGCAGACCCCTTGCTTCAGCTGGGAGCAATTCTACCGTGGCAGCAGTTGATGAGCACTGTTCACCTTTCACACATCAGTTTGCCTGGAACCTACCCCTCCTTCTGCAGAAACCACATTCCGAGTCTGACTGAACACTTGCACAGTGGTTGTTTGGAGCCACTTGGCTCAGGCTGACTGTTAAGCGTCTGCCTTCCATCTGTTACCTGTGCCCTAACTCTGTGTCCCTTTTGCTCACATATTTGCAAAACTTAGCATGCGAGAGGCACAGGGATCGATACCCCGATTCTCCAAAAACCTGCTATGTATTACGACAAGACATAACCAAAGCCCATGGAAAGGAACCAAAAAAAAAAAAACAAAAAAACTAATGTGGGGATGGGACTAGAGAGGGTCCCTTTTGGCGAAAAGCTGATGGAACTCAGCTTTGCATTCAGGGTTCAGTTGTTGTCCATATCTGACGACAGTGAGAGTGCTCTGGACAGTTGTTTGCCCTTTGCAAGGTGGTGCTGGGCAAAGTGCTGGCGAGGTGCTGGCAGGATGCTTCCACCCTGTCCCTTTCAATTTGACATCAGCCTAAACCATCATTTTCCTGGGAACAGGCTTGCGGTTGGCTCTCAGGCGGCACGCTCACTGCCATGACACTTTCACTGCTTCACATTTTTGTTCATTTCCACTGGACTGATTGTCTGTTGTTGTGAAAACAGAATTTTTGGGCACTGATGTGTGCTTTTGTGCCTGAGTGTGTAAGGTCACATGGTGTAGTTGGTTATCACGTCTGTCTAACACACAGACGGTCTCCAGTTCGAGTCTGGATGTGACCACAGGCTGGGTGGACGAGTTTTAATATCAAATTAGTTCACTTGTTGTTCTGATCAAAAATGTCTGTCTGGCGTCGAACTGACATAATTGTAAGCAAGAGGGCCCAGACAGATGGCCAGGTTGCACCCACATTGAAGAGAAAAAAAGGTAAAAGACTCATTGACAAAGACAAAAACGCCTTATAAGAAAAAATGAAAAGAAAAAGGAGGAAGAAACCTTCAGGAACGATATCAAAAAGGGAAGAGTGTTGATTCTTTGATAATTAAAACAGGAAAACTTTGGGGACAGGGCCAAGACTTGCATCAGTCTGTAAATTTCGTTGTTTCTTTCTTTCCAACCAACACACATCTGCTTGGGCAGGACATTCTCTGATGCAACGACAATATGATATCTACTTAATTTACTGTTCAATTTAGCACAAGTTTGTTAAGTGTTGAGATTCGAGCCAACGAAACCAACTTCCTATGTCGATGGTGGCCTCGTCGCCGCTGCTGATGCCACTTACACTAAGGAAAGCAGCAGTTTCTGGGAAAGGCTGAAGTCCTGCTGGTCATTGAGTCTGGAAAGTTAAACTAAGCCTGAATTTTCATTATTAGCCCCCTGGCAGTCTCTAATTTGCATCAGAAACTGTTCAAGTCCGTCCCAAACAGCCTGGCATGGGCATTTTAGGTAGGCTCTTGTGCAAAAAGTTTTTGGTCAAACACTTTTGCTTGGTCCATCTGTAAACAGTCTACTCTGAGTGAGGGAGTGGAAGGAGTGAATAAAGTGGAGATGTGTGTTTTGTGGGTGGGTCCTTCTCCCCAACTTGGAGAGAAAGAGAAAAACTCTGCTATGAATTATTAACACATTATGATGGTATACACTCTGTAATCGTTGCTAGGCAAGCTTGACCAGCACAGGGTAGAAACCTCTCCTATATTATCTGCTTGAGCAGAGGAGGAGGAAAACTGTTGACACCAGGTTTCCGTTCCACTTAATACTCAGAGAATTTGTCATCAGCGCAAGCCAGCGCCCAGGTCTGCATTGGCGGTGGCTCGCTCTCCCAGGGGCATTGTGAGAACGATAACTGACAGTCACAATAGGTTTGAGTCCGTCTTGTGCCTCTTGCTGCTAACCAGTCAGTTCCGCCTAACACCATCTGCCTCTGCCAATGACGTCAGCTGGCGTCATACAAGCCCTTCAACCACAACTGCATCAGCAAGTGTCACAGCAACACTTGCTGCTGTTGGCTGTTTGTTTGTTGTTTGCACACCTGTGTCATCATCCAGATGGCTGCGCTCACCAATGTTGTTGAGGCCAAAAGGCATGGTCATCCAGCAGATAGACCTATGATTTTGCATTTTGCTCAGTACTGTAATTGACTTTTTGATTTACATTTCTGGATTTTCAGATATTTGTGTTGCTTAGACAGATTGGCCATATGCTCACTAAAACTATTGCAATACTTTTTGGCATACTTTTTGCTTTGGACCCTCAGTGGCAACAGAAAGGACAACAACATTGGGGTAGGCAGGATCCTTGCAGAGCACTGGAGGTGGAGGTGATTGCGAGGTAGCTGCTGCGTGTGTTGGTGCAGGGTTGGCAAGCAATGAAGGCATTGGGGTCTCAGTGGCCACCACAGAGCCCCAGCACATGACCACAGCAAAAAAGTGTTGGTGTACAGTGACGGCACTGGAGCTGTTAACTGAGGTAAAGCAATTTGGTCAGGGTGTTACTGGGCCAGCTAGGGATGCAGGCTTACTGCTTTGGACACCAGGGGACACCCTGGGACCCAATACATTTGGTAGCGTAACCACCTACGTCTGTGACAGGAGATCCTGTGGCAGTCACATGACTTGTGGGAGACAAGTAGTGTGGGAAACATAAAATAAAACTAAAAACAAACCACCACTCTTGTCAACCCTAGCAAACAACAAAGCTGCAGGTCAAGTGCCAACCAAAGGAGAATTGCTGCACAGAGTGCAAAGAACGCAAAGCACCAAACTTCCTTCCATCCCAGACCAGATTGCAGATAGCTTTTGGCTCCAACGTTTGATTGATTCCGTGCAAGAAAATCTGGTCAACTTTGCTCAAATTGGACCCCAAGTTGCTGTGGCCTTGCCTCAGGTGAGCCAAACCACTAACAGTGCACCAGTCTCTGGCGAAAGGCAAACTGCCATTTTCATATACAAGCCTATTGCGCTAGTTGTTATCTGGCTGAATAGTGTAGGGGTTGTCACATCAGATTCTGATTCTGGGGACCCCGGTTCGATTCCGGGTGCGGCCTTGGTTGAATATGAAGTAATCTGCCAATGGTTTGTTGTACACCATTCCACCACCGTGTATGGCTGTTGTTGGCAGAAAATTGTACCATGCTCTAAGAGGTCTGTCCTTTATCCCGCCTTTGCAGAAAATCTAACCCTTTCTGGTAGTCTCCCACCATCTCACTTCACCTGTAGCAAGTTGTTCTTCTAGCTAGAGGAAGGACTTTTTGGCTGTCGCATTCAAACGTTTGCTGAGACGCCTTGTTTGCCTGATGGGTGCCTCTGTGTGAGACATATTTGAGTGAAAAGCGATTGTGGTTAAGAAGCTTTCCTCCTCATGAACCGCCATGTTCCTTGCAGGCGGCTGATTATCATGCCACTTTTCTGACGCAGTCTTGTCCTAAAATGAACCTGCAGAGCCACAGTTGTGTGCTGGTTGCACAAACAGTGCTCGCAATCGTGGAGTTGTAACAGAGAAGCTGACAAGCAGAGTGGAGCTGCAGAGCTGCAGGGTTGCAGAGTTGCGGCAGAGTAGCAGAGCTGCCAAGTTGTGGCCAAGTGGGTAGCAGCAGAGAGGCAGAGTCCCAGAGTCAGGGGGTTGCAGAGTTGCAGCAGAGCAGTGGAGTTGCAGAGTAGCAAAGAAAATCAGAGTTGCAGATTAGCAGTGCAGAGTGAATTTGCAGAGTTGCAGAGTCACAGAGTTGTGGAGACAGGGAGTTGCAGAGCTGCAGAGTAACAGAAGCGTAGAGTAACAGGGCTACAGAGTCACAGTGTGGAAGCCTGGTGAGACTGCCTAATCCTGGCGGATAAAGGGCGGGGTACTCCAGGACAATCTGTGCGTGGAACTGGTGGGTGAAGCGGAATTGGTCTCCATTCAACACAAGCCTCCATCCACCGCTCAAAGCCCAAAAGCAAAAGAAAAACCCAAGCAAAACGCGCTTGTAAGGTGTGTGCTGCAACAAAGGAAGCAGCTGGCGCTTCCACAACAGAGTTGCCAAGTTGTGGCAAAATTGGTGTGTCGCAAAGCCGTGGAGTTGCCTGGCTGCAGATTTGCAGAGTTGCCAGTGGGGTTGAGTTGCCAAGTTGCAGAGTCTGAGAGTCTGAAAGTCTGAGAGTAGCGTAGTCATGGTCCCCTGGAGTGCACTCCCTGAACTCTTTGCTCTGCTCTGCCACTCTGCTACTCTGCCGCAACTCAGCCACTGCGCTAGTCTGCAACTCTGCAATTCTGCAACTCTGCGTTCAGTTGAAGAGTCATGACACACACAAGATGAGGACAGTCTCTCCTGTAAACAGTCTACTCTGAGTGAGGGAGTGGAAGGAGTGAATAAAGTGGAGATGTGTGTTTGTGGTCCGCAACTTGGAAAGAAAGAGAAAAAAAACTCTGTTATGAATAATTGATACATAATGATGATATACATGCTGTAATAGTCGCTAGGGGGGTGTGACTGGCACATGGTAAAAACCTCTCCTATATTATCTGCTTGAGCGGAGGAGGAAGAAAACTGTTTACACTTGGTTTCCGTTCCACTTATAACTCGGAGTATTTGTCAACAGTGCAAGCCAGCACCCAGGTCTGCATTGGCAGTGGCTTGCTCTCCCCATGGGCATCGTGTGGAACAATAACTGACAGTCACAATAGGTTCAGGTCTGTCTGGTGCCGCTTGCTGCTAACCAGTCAGTTTTGCCTAACATCTCCAGGGTCAGTCTGACCTGTCCCAGTTAGTATAGGGGCTAGTATCACCCCCTGAAACAGGGTAGACCCAGGTTCAATTTCCGGACTGGGAGCAGCAGCAGCTGCAGGATGCAGTCTCATGCATGCTGGACACTTGCTGGGGCAGCGTGGAATAAAGCATCTGCCTATCATCTCAGTTTCCTGTAATGGCCCTGCCCTGCACTTGTTTGAGCAAACTCCACCAAAGTCACAGAATGCCAACATGAACTGACATATTTGAGAAGGTTCAAAGGACTGCAGTAGTTTGCACCCAATGAGTGGAGACCCACCTGCAATACCTGCAATGGCCAACAGCGCTCGGCTCACAGTTTGCCTTTTGAAAAAAGGGGAAAATTTGCACAAAAAACTTGCAAACTAGGGAATGAAGCGTGTGCAACAAATGCAACACACCCCATTTTCGTATTTGATGGAATTATGGAAGTTGGGTGTGTTGCTGTTTTTCAGGGCGCACCATCGATCAATGTGGCGAGCTGCTCTCTGACAGCCCTTGCAATGTGGAAAGTCGTTTTCTTGGCAGCTGGCGTTTTCTGGAGCAAGAGAGCCAAACTGTGGGTGGCACCGTCTTTTTTTTCGACCAGGCTTGTGGAAAAACAAACAGAGAAAAAAAAGACAAAGGATGCATAAAAAGTAAATTTCTCTGTCCCCACGCAAAATTGGGATGCCGACAAGGTCTCGGAGCCAAAGGTAACCGGCAAGAATTCTTACACTCCTTATGCGACAGATGAGTGTCGTGAAAATTGGGTGCATAGAGAGGAATTGGATCCAGAAACGCAAAAAAGATAATCTGCAACGACGCCAAACAAGAACTTACAGAGGATCACACGTAGGTGAAAGCCGCAAACGATCAAAGAGGACAGGAAGACGCCGACGAGTGCGAAATCCCACAAACTTCAGCGCTTCAAGATTCAAAGTGAGGAAGGAGATGGAGGGACCTTCCTACCGCTTCAGCAAGCTCATGTCGACATGCGATCTAAGGCCTGTCGACTTAACCGACTGGGGAGGTTGAAGTTTATATGTACCCGGCCGCCGGTTGGTGTGGCAGTCGGGATGACCACAAAGCAAGATAATTAGTGAGGAGTCCAAAGTAAGACAACCAGTGAGGAGTCCACCAGCGTCCCACTAGCACGCAAGGACGGAACAAGTGCGCTGCATAGCGTTCGACATTCTTTCTTGCTCGGTTGTTTTGATAGCCCATCAGGTTTTTTTTTTATAGCCAATTGTGAAAAAGACGACAATTCTCAGTACCCACTTCTGCGGCAGAACCAGTGGTTTAACCTATCTACGAGCGAACCCACCAGTTTTCCGTTTTTTCATTCACAATAAAGTTTGTCCAGCCTATTTTTTTCTCGTCGATCAGCGGCAGCACCAGCAACCCCGCACGCTCCACCCACTCGCCGTCATGGACGAGTACATTGCAAACAGTAACGTCATGGTGGCCATGGGCGTCTCACTGATAACTATCGTGAGTCTGCCCAGCTTCGGCCTACCCAGCACTCCTAACTCGCCCCACCAACACCGCCATACTCACAGTTTAGAACTCTCTTTCTTCCCAACCCCCCCTCCCAACCCTCCTACTCGACTTCCGAACCCCCCTCCCCCCCCCCCCCCCCTACCCCCAACTGATCTCCCCTCCGTTCCTCTCCGAAAAAAAAACCAAAGCTCGTCTCCTTCTGGGAGGTCATTGCGAAAATCACCAACCCCGTCCTGTTCTGGACACTCATCATCTCGGCCCTCGGCCACTTTGCCTACACCTTTGGCTCCGCCATCATCGCGCGCAACCTCGCGGCGGACCAGGACATCAACAAGTACTTTTACTTGACGGCGTGCTTGACGTGTGAGTGAGATGGGGCCGGGGATGGAGAGCGATATTAGGGTTTTCCTTTTTTTTGGGGGCTGTTTTTTTCTTCTAAAATTGTCATTCTCGATTCATGCGTTGCTTGCACCAATTCTCTTAATGCCGTTGGAACGCCGCTTGAACAAAGCCGCTGATCTAATCGCTGTAAGCGCCCACTGCTCACTTCCGTGTACCCATTGCCCGGGGAGATGGAAGTCACTGCTGAGCCATGATCTAATCGTACACCGCCGCCCCCCCAATCCCCACCCCCCATCCCCCCGGGATATGCCAGTGGTTCTCCCTCGTGTTCCACACCTCGTACCGAACGCTCTTGATCATGTACCCTTCGTCAAACCGAATCTGGATCGTTCCGTCCATCGTTCTTGTCGCACAGATTGTCCTTCAGAGGTGTGTCTCGTTTTTTGTTTTTCTTCCAGATCGTCGGAGCAGGCGAAGCTGAAGTCATTTGATTTTGTACGGCACCACCGTAAAAACAGCACTAGTAAGTATCGACTGGACTAATTCGTGACATTTTTTTCTGGGTAATGGTTCTAACCCCTGACCACGGCAACTTCTCGACAAAGGCACTTGGTACTGGTACAACAACTGGACGGTGAGATTGAAAGCAAGCCACACAAAAGTTCTAGCCCCCGATCTCACCGTTTACCCGTTCTTCCCCATCCCCCCCAAACCCCTCTTTTCTCCTTCCCTCCTGCCTTCCCAGACAAACCAATTCGCCACGACCACGCCGCAATTCTACGCGATGGCCATCGTCATCATGGTCTTTGTCTCGACCGTCGACTCGTTCTTCTTCTTCCTCACCCAGTACAAGATCATCTCCACCCTCCGCGAGGTCAGCAACACCCCCGTGTCCGTCTGGCACGTCGTCAAGATGATCCTCAGGAGCTTGTGCTACTCGTCGGCGGTTGTCATGGAGTTCATCTCGCTCGGTTGGGGCGTTGTTTTTTCTTCTGCTTTTTACCCCCCGCTCCCTCCGTTGATCGTTGCGCGCATTCTAAGATCGATCGTTTTGCGGGGTTTGATTAGGTCAATATTTCTTCACTGTTGGAACAGGTATGAATATGTGGGAGAATCAGTGCGGTGGGAGATCTGGGCGATGTGATCGACTTTGTATGGGGGTCACTTGGACGAGGTCTCAAATCACCCGTAGCGTGACATTGCAACGAATAGCGATGAACTGCAGGCTAAACCACTTCACCCCTTCTCTCACATACCGTCGGCGCAATTCAATTCAATTCGTCGAAAAAACAACAACAAAGCCTGGTAAGTGGACAATTGTTCTCCACCATTCGAACAACCTCAAACAACTCCTCCAAATCCATCCCCTTCTCACTTCCTCCACTGACCACCGACCATAAACAAAAACACACCAAAAAGGTCCTTCGTCTACCAAGCCCAGAACCTGATGATCATGGTCCTCCTCTCCGACAGCCACTACGTGACGCAGATCGTCGCGTACTACTGCAGCGGCAAGGGAAAGGGCACGAGCGGCCTGTCGGGGATCAAGTCTGGCACGGTCGGCGGCGCGTCGTTGACGACCGGCGGTGGCGGTGCCGGCGGCGATGGAAGCATGGGAGCGGGCGGCGCGAGCACGGGGAAGTGATGGATGGCGGGAGCGCGAAGCGTCATTGGTGGAGGCGACATGTTGCTTTCGCACTGACCAATGGGAAATCGGCGGAGTTGAGACAAAGGGGGCTATATCCTCGATTTTGTCTCCACTTGGAATTAACGTTTTCTGGAAATTGCCAAATTGAACTAGAGACCAACGGAGCATGCGGATCGGCGGTTTTTTATTTTATTTTTTTTTATTCTTTTTCCGATCCCGCCAATCAATGGAGGAGCAACAAGCAAGGGAGGGTGAGGGGGGTGCCCCGCGTATTAGAACCTATTTGTCTAGTTAAAAAGACTAGGTCAAGCGACAGACGTGACTGATTTGAAAGGAGGTGTCTGGTTGCATCGTTCACTGCTTTATTTGGGACGGGGGATTTGCTCCGGATTCGCCGCCGCGAATGCCTTTTTCCAGACTGCTGTGGTTCACAATAACAATAATGTGCGACAACTAACGTTAGTGCCGGGTTTGCAAACTTGCGCCTCCAGCACGGGGCCTGTTGGAGAAACATGTTGCGTCGTTCACTTTCATGTCGGGGCCGCCAAATACGGAAAGTATGGAGACAAAAACATTAATTGATTGTTATTGTTCGTGTTTGGTTGGTTCTCCGATCTTTTTTGCAATTTAAATAAAAAAATGCCACATTCATCTCCAAGAATGGAAGTTGCAATTCAAAAAAAAATTAAAAAAATAAAATATAGGGAAAAATTCCAATTTGGTGTCAATTAACGTGTAATAGGCCCAGCAGGCAGGCAGACAGAGACAAGGACAGCCAGACAGACAGACAGAGAGCCAGCCGAGCTGGGAAGACAGACACGCACCTCTCTCCCACCAACCAAACCCGCTTCCGGCCGAGACGAGAACGAAACCACCACCACGACCCGCTCAACGGCGCTCGACGCCGTCGCCCCCACCCAACACCCCAACACCGCCACAACCGCTAGCTACCCTACCCTACCTTCCCACCACCTCACAGCCCCACCATCACCACCCGCCCACCACTAGTGTGCCACCATGGACACGTCGCAGTACATCGCAAACAGCAACGTCATGGTCGCTCTGGCCGTCTCGCTCATCACCATCGTACGTCCCCCCCGCAACGCCGGCCCAACGAGACCGACACCCCACTGATCCACCTTTAACCCTGCTCCCCCCCTTTCCAAATTTTTCTCACAGCTGGTCTCCTTCTGGGAGGTAATTGCGAAAATCTCTAACCCGGTCCTCTTCTGGACCCTGATCCTCTCCGCCACCGGCCACCTCGTCTACACCCTCGGCTCCGCGGTCATCGCACGCAACGTCGCCGCAGACCAGGACTTTGACAAGTACTTTTACCTCACGGCCTGGCTGACGGGTGAGTGAAGTGAAGCGCAGGGAGAGGAGAGATTGAGAAATTTCTTGTTGGTTTCTTTGCGGCTGGGCATGTTGGGCTTACCCCTGACTCAAACGTCGCGATACTTTTGCCGGGAAAAAAAAAATGAAGCTGCGGACCTGATAGCCGTAAGTGACTTACTCCCGTTCCCTTGAAAAACGATTCCGCCGAGACTGATTACAAATTTTCAACCGTCCTCAACCGCCACACACAACCGCCC